CCCACGACTGGGTACCGTGCCCCAATTCTTTGTCTTCAACTCAGTCTCTCTTGGCCTCTAAGCCAACCAGTTCCACCTTTCTCTGGAGATGAGTCAGGTTGCCTTTTTAGATCTCCCCAAACCTACTTCCTAATCTCTTTGTATACAGGCCTGCCTCTATGTGGTCTCCAAGGTTCCTTGTCCAGCACCTCAGCTGAGGTGTTGTTTGCCCTTGCTGTGGCCTCTCTATCCTTCCAATCACAGGACTCTGTGGTCCCTAGAAGACCTATTTCTGCTCCTGTCCTGATCCGCTTAATAAACTATATTCACGACCCAGTTGGGTAGTCTGGTTCTGCTACCTGCCATAGGGTTACCTATTTTTCCAAGCCTGCACGTGAACTTGGTCTCTCTCCTGCTAAAAACCCCTTCTTGTGTACTCTCTCTGGCAGCTCTCTGCCCGGCTTGTCCAAGACTTTCTCCCCAGTACAGAAGTCTGCGCCCCTGTCCAATCTCCCACTTAATCTACGGGGTCACTCTAGTTCTCAGTTGCCAAGGAGGGACCGTCAAACACCTTGATCTTGGCACCCACTGATCAAACCCTGCCAGGTCGGGTCACCAACCTCACCAATCTCCTTGGAAGACTTTTAGCTTCTCTCTTGGACTTCCGTTCCTTGGAATTTTACCTTGCAGATTGAGAATGTTACTACTTTGTAGATATAGTAATAATAAAGCTACAGTAAAAAAGATGGCTTTTCCCCCCAAATTCCATTTTCTCCAAACAGTCAAAAGACTGGGCCACTCTTGCCATTTTTAGCTTTTTCTAAATGTCTATGGTTATGGGTCCTTGATCAGTACAGTCTGATTCTCAGCTGGCTTTTAGGAATGGCATTGGGTCTTGGCAAGCTGGCCACCGGTCCCTTCTCTTCCTGCAGTCACTGCTGTGTCTTCAGATATGGCTTCTTCAAGTAACTGCTAGAAGATGAAACAAAACTATCTCCTCTGAAGGAGGAGAGGGTGGGTAGAGGGTGGCAGCTCTACCCAGATGTTCTTGAGATTTCACCACACGCACATAACGTCCCATTCAAGCTTACGCTGATGGAAGATTAGGTCAGTACAAGTCAGTCAAACTTATTCCTAACCAACACTTTGGATTTGAGCTTTATGGCAGACAAAACTCTTTTCTATGCTTCCCATCCAGTCCTCACAGCAACCCTGTGATTATTATTAATAACGGGGATACCATTCTCCCCATTTTCCTGATGTACAAACTGAGGCTCAGAGAGGTGAAGGAAGTAAACCAAGATCACACAGCTGTTTAGTGGTAGAGTCAGCATTCGACCCAGGCCTCTGTTACCTCCCGCTCTTCCCATTTCTTGGCACAAAGAACACAAAAGAGGTTTTCCACTCTCCTCCTCTCTAACTTGGATGGTCTTCTCTCTTCACCAGTTTGTGTTCCACCCGGGCAGTCTTAAACAACAAAAGGAGCAACCTACCAAGTTAACTGTCACAATCCCAGGTGGGGTGGGGGCGGGGCATTTTGCTGTCTCTTTCACCACCGTTCCTGATTTCTCAGCCTCTGCGGTTTAACCCAGAGCCCTTGCCCTCAGCGCTGAGTGATGCTTTCTATGGGATGTGCTAGGTCTCCTGGGTCACTCAGTTAAGGGGTTGGCAAGTCTACCTCCAAAGTATGCTCGATGCTACCCTACCCATCCATCTTCTCACTTTGTCCACATTCCGTGGCGGCTTACCCCTCCCGTGACTTCTCGCCCCTACCTCTTGAAGAAAATTCAGTAATTCGTCTTCCAATGCCACTTAGCTCCCTCCTCTCTGGATCACCCGTGGGAGTCCCTTCTTGCAACCATGGGTGTTTCCCAGGGTCTCCTCTCCCGCTTTGCCTCTTGGATGGGCCACGTGGCTAGAGCCGTCTCAGCAGCCAGGACTTCTAGAGGCCCACGGCTGCTAAGCAACTCTGGAGAGCTGCTGTTCCGACCCAAAGGTGCCGGACCCCTACGGCCCATGTCTCCCAGTCCTCCCCCGCCACACACAGAAGCAAGACACCCAATCTCATGACTTTTGGCCGTGGAGCCCAGCCACGGGAGGCCATGCTGGACAGTGCCTCCGACTGTAGATTTCCCACAAGTCAAGGCCTTGGATGGCTGGCTTGGCTAGGGTTGCCATACCACTGTCTCACCCCTTTCTAGACATTAATTCACTTCACAGACGTTTAAGCACCTACCATGAGCTATCACTGTTCAGAGCTGCAAAGAAGACAGACACTGTCCCCACCTCACGCAACTCATCCTATTCTAGCTGGTTCCACAGAGTCACCACTTGGTTTCCAGGTGGTCTGAGTTATTTGGTGAACTCAGTGAGATTTCTTCTGCCTTCTGGACTCTCCACAATCATCCGATTACCTGAGGGAACCACCTGACCTTTGTAAACCTTCCCAGGGCAGTTCATTCCTTGGTCTGCTGCTCTGCTAGACAATCCCCTGCTCTGATGGCCCTTCCAGCCAGCTGGGATCCTCCCAGCTCCTGCTTCTCCTCTCATAGGATGACATCGTTTGTTCTGACACAGCCATTCTCAAATCCAGTAGTTATTCTTGAATGTCATTTATAGAGGTGTATTTCCTTGAAGTTAATATTCAAGCATACATGTTATGTAATGGATAATAATCACTGCAGTAGAAATGTGCATGTATGAATAATAGCACAAAATAGCTAAAAAAAAGTCTCCCAAGTCAGACTATTTACAAATTCTGAACTTATTTCCACGAAGCAACTATTCAGACTTTCCCCTTGTTGCTATCACTGTGTGCTCATAATTCCAGATTCTCCTTTTCCAGATTATGACTGTATCACGCAGCTATTTCTTCTCAATAGTTTTCGTAGTGGTCATACATGAAGGCACTAGCTCATTCCTCTAATAGACCACAATTCCCCGAGCTGTCCCCCCACAGCTGAGCAGTTTCCAGTGAATGATGGGAATCTATAGGGCAGACACAAATGTCTCTATGCAAATATTTTTTTCTTTTAAATTATCTTGCCACAATGTGTTCCCCAAAGTGAGATAACATATTCTTAGGTCCATTTCCCCCGCTCTCTTGTCAAGTATTGCCCAATTTTCATCCAGGAAATACCATTTTGTAGGAACAATTGTCTACTTCTCCACGGGATAGCCTGAATTTTAGCTCTGATGAATGCAAGTCATTCTACTTTGCTATTTTTTTCTTTTTTTTTTTTCATGTTTCTGGCCCCTGCCTGTGTACAGAAGTTTTCTCCTGGATACACAGCCCATCTGGTTCTTTGGCCAAATGATCCCACTTCCTGCATATATTGGAGATTCAGCTTTTCCTCATCAAGCCAATTCTACGTAGTTTTCTCAACTTCTTGGCTCTATCAGCTTCGTTATTCTTGGCTGTGCATATGTTTTAATTTTTATCTAACTGAGTTTGTCAACCTGGACTTTGATGGCTTCCCCGTGTTTCAATAAACAAGAAATGGCCTTTCCGGAAAAGGACTCTCTTTTCCCTCCCCCCACACCTGCACGTTCCGTTTGGACTTGTCCAAAACCCCTCTGATTCCCACGAACATGCCACCATCTGTGACACTCACACGAGGCTTCCCTTCCGTCAACTCTCCACAGCCCCTGGCTACATATGTCCTCGAAACCTACTCCCCACCTCAGTTCCACCCGCTGCCACCACCTGTAAAAGGACCGGTGGTCACAGTCACCTCCGACTGGACCCTTCCATCCTATTTTTACGCCTCCATGCACCCCAGCTCCACTGCCAGCTTCTTAGATTTCCTGGGCACCCCTGGTCCCACACCTGGCCTACAGGGCCCCGTGGTGTTCCTCACCAATAGTAGCCTACAGAAGGACAAATTCCTTCACTCCTCAGATCAGCCAAGCCAAGGCCAACTGTTCTTAAAAGGAATTTTGCTGGAAAGCTTACAGGAAACAAAAACAGACTCCAGGAAATGTAGAGACATCAAAACAGAAGTGTTGCCTCAGAGAGGTTTTACATCCAACATAGGTCTTGCCTCAGGCTTGGTAGGGGCATGGAGGGGTCCCCTGTGCTGTGATACTCAGAGTCTGGTTTTTCAGATGCCAACTCGGCTGGATATAGTTTTCCGGTAACCTGTTCCTAGCCTCACAACCTTTGAGGCTAACAGCTCTTGGCCCCAGCTGGTGTCTGCACTTGCTCCTACATAAAGCTCACTCTGTACATCCCCGGAGCTGTCATGATCACAGGACCTGTGACTGTGTGGCAGAAGATATCACTTATCGTCATCTCAGAACTTCCAGCCTCTCCTGACCCCGTCTGATCCTGTGCCAGTCTGAGGGGACCCAGGATGCATGTCTGACCTACCCTGGGCCCTTCTTGGCTCAGAGGACTTGTGCCCACCTCCCCGAGACTCTCCCTTGGCTACTCCATCCGGAACAGTGTGTTTTTGTTTTTAAATTGGGGTCTCACAGTGACATGATCACGGCTCACCACAGCCTCACTTCCTGGGCTCAGGCAATCCTTCTGCCTGAGCCTTCAGAGTAGCTGGGACTACAGGCTTGTGCCACCAAACCTGGCTAATATTTCTGACTTATTTTGTAGAGACGAGGTCTTGCTATTCTGCCCAGGCTGATCGCACACTCCTAGGCTCAAACAATCCTCCTGCGTCGGCCTCCCAAAGTACGGAGACTGCAGGCATGAGACACTGGCGTGTGGCCAAGGAATGGTTTTGAAGCATGCAAATCAGAGCAAGTTTACGAATCTCAGAAACCTAAACTATATAGCAGCGACAGCAGCGGCAGCCACCCCCAAAAGACAAGAGGCTGGTGAACTCCCAGGGCCCGTCACCTCTCCCCTTCTGTGTCTGAGAGCTGTAGTCCCGCCACTACCTTTGGTCCCTATTCCTGCACACCAGAAGAGGGGTTGGCAGCCTGGCACCTCACACTGAAAAACTGCCCACTGCTGTCCTTCAGGAAGATGTCCCAGCCACGGGCAGCAGTGTTTCCACCCTCCCCTCCCCCCTCCCCGCTCCCCTCTCCCCCTGTCTTAGCCTCCTCAACTGTCAGGAGAACGGACCCGAAAGACATGGATGGTCCCGTTACTGAGGGAGACAACCAGGTACCTGCCATCCACCATGGTGGTCACCCGGGGCTTTTCCAGGCCATGGTAGGCGGTCAGAAAGTCTCCAAGAAGGGACCCCTTCGGGTCCAGGATCACCACCTTGTTGACCTCGCGAAGGGTCAGAAAGATGTAGCCTTTCTTATCCACAGACACGGAGCCAGGCTGGCAGCCGTGCAGGCCCGGGCCCCGGTACTCCCCCATCACCTGGCCCAGCCCGTCGCAGACCACCACGCTATTCTGCTGCCAGTCCGACCCCACAAAATTGCCCTGGGGGCTGGTGGTCAGGAAGACCAGCGCCCGCTGGCCCCGGCTGGCCTTGCCCCCGGGGATGAAGCGGGTGGCCAGGCTGCCCTCCATGTTGTACACCTCCACGTGGCCCGCCACACTGACGGCCACGCGGTCCCCGCTGGGCAGGGCGGCCACCGCGTGGCTGGCCTGGGAGAGGCTCAGGGCCCGGCGCCACTGCACCTCGCCGTCGGGGCTGATGAGATAGAGCCGGGCGCCAGCCGAGAAGGCCACGGCGCCCTGCAGAGCAGCCACGCTGCAAGGGGAGCAGCCCTCGGGGACCGGCACCGCGCCCTTGTAGTCGCCGTTGAGGGAGAAGCGTTTCAGCGCCCGGTTCTGCTCGTCGGCCACCAGGATCTCCCGGAGGCCAAAGGGACAGAGCCCAGTGATCCGGGGGGACCGCTTATCTCCAGGCATGCGAGTGGGGAAGCTGCAGGAAAAGAAGGGCCTGGGGAGGAGGCCAGAGCCTTCCAGGTTTGGCCCAGGGGCGGGGCTGGACTCCCGGGAAATGGACTTGAATCTGCCTTTGAACTTCCTCTTCTTGTTGGATCTGCCTCCCCTCTGGGTCTGGGATCCTACGTCTTCTCGGGGCGTTGGGGCTTGCTCCTCGTCCCGGGTCTGAGCCCCGTCTTCTCGGGGCATTGGGGCGTTATCCTCTTTCGGGGTCTGGGCTCCGTCCCTGCCCTGGGGCTGGGCCCCGCTCTGTCTCTCGACCTTGGCCACATCCTCCTCCTGGCTCTGGGTCTCCTCGCCTCCCTGGCTACCGGCTCGGTCTTTCCCAGCGTCCTTCCGGGGCTGCTGCTCCTCGAACGAGAGCCGAAGCAGGTGGCAGTTCTTATCCAGGAGCCCAGGGTGGAGCTCCAGCTGGGGCCACAGGCAGGGGGCGGGCGCAGGTGTCTGGGGGCAGCCCTGCAGCTGCCGCAGCCTCTGGGCGATGGCCCCCTCCAGCGACAGGATC